GAGTGTAATGCTGACATCAAGGAGGAGATCATTTGTATCACCCTCATCAACAAGTTACCGCCAAACTGGACATGGATTAAGGTACTGTGGCTTCCGAAACCTAAATCCGAAAAGACACTCAGCAGTCTGATCAACCTCATTCAGACAGAACCACTGAGACGACAATCCGAGAATCCCGAGGACGTACCAACAGCTATGTTCAGCAAAATGAATCTGAGAAGCGGTGGCTCTCGGAAATTCCCTCGCAGAAAACAGGAAAGTCGTGCTCCTCACTACCGTGAGAATCGTTCTGTCTCAACCTCACAACAGAGCTCCTCAAAGTCTACAAAGGTAACGATTACTTGCAACTACTGCAAGAAGCCGGGACACATAGCTAGGAATTGCTATGCGATGAAAAATCATCAGAAGAAGCGCTCCTCAGTAAATGTCGCTGACAAGTGAACCTTCGCTTTTGGTGAATCGCAAAGCTGATCCAGACTGAGACCATCGGATTCCTCGTCAAAAATTAGGAAAAAAAACGGAGTCTCCCGTGCTGACCGCCACAGGAGCCGGGATTGCAAGCAGGAGAAAATTTCATTTTCAGTATGGGATTTAATGGGGCAAGTTTCTCAATCAAAGCCGATAACGTCCTAGACGAGATTTTCCTCGTGCGTTTTGATCACGCGTGCTGGAAAAGCATAGGGAGACCCACAAACAAAGATATTCGCCGATCCATCGCCTTTTTATCTTCGATGATGACATTGGGGGCGCTGGGTACCAAGTTTCCTTCCAAGATATATTGACAGCCCCTGCCCTCCCCTGTTTCTTTCATGAGTCATGATTAGGGCTAGGCGTTTGTGGCGGCCGCCACATCCGCCATGAAATCCGCGATTTTCGGCCGGAATGCCCACCTTCCGCGAATTTCGGAGTTTTTTTCACGGGATAAACATGGTCAGTGTGAATCCTTCCGTGACAGACCCCGCATCCCATTCGATAGATTCCAATGGGACCATCGATGACGAGATTTCCTTATCAGCTGCGGAAGCGCATTCACATGCTGACAAGCGCGCCGCGAAATCAAAACTTGCCCTCACTCGGTGTCCACAGCGATCTCTCCCATCTTTTGCTAGCTATGCTGCGCTCGTTCGAAAACAGACGAAGGAACGCAGAGGAATGGATTCTTCGTCGAACGAGGGAACCCATCGAACCATGAACACTCCGAAAAGCACAGCCAAAAGATCCCAGCATGTGACACCGAAAATGCGACAGGAGGAGTTTCCAGATGGAAAGTTCCATGCGTCAGGTGATCGTCTCTATTGCAGCTCTTGTAATATCGCAGTCGATCATAGACGGAAGGATACATGCTCGAAGCATCTTGAGACCGCGACTCATAAAAAAAAGGAGCGAAGCCACCAGGAGTCCTTGGCAAAAAGAGCGAAACTCCAGGTCAATTTAGTGGAAGCTTTCGGCCAGATGAGTCAGGGAGGAATCGAGAAACAAACGACGCTTGTGAGCCTAGTCGAAGCATTCTGTGCCGCCAACATACCCTTACACACTCTTGACAACTCGAAGTTGAGATCATTCCTCGAATCGAATGTGAAAAACTGTGGTATCATTCCGTCGGCTTGTAATCTACGCCGTAATTACCTTCCCAGAGCGTTCGAAGCTCATGTTAAACACTTGAAACAACTACTCGAGGAAACGAGGTCTCTCGCGCTAGTTTGCGACGAGACAACCGATGCAGAAGATCGGTACGTATTGAACGTCTTGGCTATCCCGTGCTGCACGGATGTCGCAGAACCCAAGCTGAAAGCGTTTCTCCTGCGATGCGCCGTTCTCGAACGCACTAATTACAAGACGGTGAGCGACGCAATACTGAGAATCCTCCACGAATACGAAATCTCCCCGCTGAGCATAAGTGCATTTGTGACCGACAATGCGACCTATATGAGCAAAGCGTGGAAAGATTCGCTGAAATCATTCTTCCTCAATGGGGTCCACGTAACTTGCACCGCCCACCTCCTAAACTTGGTCTGTGAGGAGTGGGCTCTGTGCTTCAAGGAGGTCAACAAACTGGTGTGTTGTGTGAAGAGATCTTTCACGGCTTGTCCCTCACGGAAGGCGAGATTCAAGCAGTTCCTCGAGAGCAATGGAAAGCCAGAGAAATTGCCCCCTGTTCCAGTCGTCACCAGATGGAACAGCTGGTTCGATGCGGCGCTGTATCATGCCGATCACCTCCAGGAGTACTCGGGCTTTTTCTCTAAAGAAGTCGAGGGAAATTCAAGCGCTTCGCTTGCGGAGGCAAGAGCTCTGTGCATGTCGTCCACTGTCGCGTCACAGCTATCTCAACTGAAAAGTTACGCACCTCATCTCATGGGGACCCTCACTAGAAATGAAGGCAACGATATCAGAGCGCACCTCGTTACCGACGAGTTGGCGCTGCTCATCGAGTGGCTCAATGTATCTCGAACACATGGGGAAAATCTTGAGATGACGAACCTCGCTCTAGAAAGATCTTCGGAGAAGCTAAGAAACTATCTCTCGGGTAACCCCGCTCACAAGTTCAGGCAACCGGCTGCGGACTTCTTCCGCGCCTGTCGCGTATTCGACCCCGCGAGGTTGAAAACAATCGAGATCGAAGCCGGCTATGTCATCGAAAATATACCGTGGTTCGAGGAAAACGATCCGGGGAAGGCTGAACTCCGACTATACTTGTCGGCCAAGAGAGAACTCGAGGCTTCGTCTCATCCGATAGTTTTCTGGATGAATGCGACGGCTCGTTTTCCCGAATTGGCGAAGATCGCTCTAACTTGTCTGAGTGTACCCGTCAACAGTGTTTCGGCTGAGAGATCTTTCAGCAAATACGCGAGTGTTCTACGAGATGATAGACGTAGTATAAAAAGTAAGAATCTCAGCATGTACAATATGCTCAATCATAACAGTGACGAAATGTGAGTTCTGGTCCTAGCTTCAAGCCTCCTAGGTAGCATAAGGTAATTGACGACAGCAGACAAACATAAACATGAGCTTTCGTTTTGCTTGTTTGGAGCCACGGAGCTGACCTTGTCTTTTTCCCGAGCTAGCGCGATTCGTCGACAGAGCATCCGCCATAAGTCCGCGATTTTTGCAGGGGAGATCCGCCACAGGTCCGCGATATTCCCGAAAAAAGTCCGCCACAAACGCCTAGCCCTACTTATGAGTCTACAAATCAGCAAGAAGTGGAGACCACCGAGGGGAGGGCTTGTTCTCGAGCGTGTGCCGTCCACGTCCCGTCGTGGATGCTACGGCGCGGATTAGCCTGTTCGCAGCGAATCAATCTAACCACTCTCTAACGTCCTTGCAGGTACAAATACACCGGTTACTACGCTATTACGTGCGTGGAAAACGTGGCCACGATCGTCTTGTGGTACTTCCGGGCCGGCGGTCACGTTTGGTACCGCTTACCAATTCTAGTTGGAACACCGTGTCTGTTCGCTTTTGGAATTCTCATTATGGTGGTATACTACCGCTACTACCATCCGAACGGGATGCTACCCATCTACAATCCGATCGCCAGGTGTTGCTAGGGAACGCCTGGGAAGATCCGCGGGTCGGGAGTCTGTCTCCTCTCGGGCTCCAGGTCGCTCGGAGCAGACGGATGGATCGACGAACAGACTGACTGCCTACCTCACCGAAGCCGTTGAAGCGTTATGGCTCCAGGGCTTCGTCCACTCACCAAGGGTGAACGTCAGAGGATAATCCTGTTCACGAGAGCCGGCTGAAGCTAAGCTGGTTAAGGATATCAGGATCATACGCCGCCGCGCCGGTGAAGAAGACGAACCGACCGGAAGCGGGCCGCGACCAACCAGACACAGGCCGAAACTCCGTCGGTGCGAACATGTTACTGTGATTGCAACTAGTTAAGTTCTTTTACTGATGCTACGAGGGAGAATGTGAGGCATACGGGTTGATATCGAGACAAAACGATCAATTCGAGGGAATCAGTTAATGATGCAAGGAATAAACGCTCGGAGACGATGAGAAACGAGATAGCTTCAGCCAAGGACCGCTGTATATAGCGATGAGGCATACGGTCATTGAACGATGCTGCCAATGAGCTCTGGTTTTCTAACACGCAATATTTGATGCCGATTCCATGAAGAGATCATTGAATCCTGGAAAATCACGACATGGGATCAGAAAGTTATTTCATATACTTATTCGAGAGGCCCGAGAATCGGGCTTCGATATGTTGTGGGCGAAGAGCACGCAGAAGTCCAACACCCCGTTCTTGGAACGAGTCGAAGAGGCTCTTCTTTTCGATATGCAAACCATTGCGCGGAGGTATTCCGGATCGATCGCCGAAAAAGCCGAGCGACCGACCGACGAACACGGTGGGTCAAAAGCAAACAATGGGACAGGATGAAAGATTTTTTTTCAGATAAAGCGGAGCAGCGCTGAGGGGAGCTCTCTCCCGAAAAAATGCCGCGGTCGTTGAAAAAACCCAAATTGCTGCTGTCGGATGCCGTGGAGCAAGCAAAATCGAATGAGAGCGAAGGCTTGTCCGGATACCCGGGCGACAGCGTTCACAATGCTCACTCGATGTGAATTGGGCAAAGAATAGAAGGTACAAGCTCCGGAACTTCAATTACCTATCTAGCAATCCCCTGATTCGCGGCATTCGAGAAATATCGACCAGAAGAAAGGGTACACTGCGGAGAGTCGGGAACCGATCCGCAACAATAGGGATCGGGAGTGACGGAACGATTTGGACTTGAGACGCATCGGAGCCCCCGTCAATCAGCATCTCTCTCAACCGTGTGTATGATGACGACTTTTTCCAAGGCGAATGTGTACAAAGTGTCTAGTTGTTTGTAAGTATTGATGTATAGCGCCAAGACAACAGAAAGATACTGGGTACACAAGCGGGAAGCTTGAGCTAAGTACTATAGATATACAACTCGAGAATGAGTGGAGCAGGAGAATCGGAATCTAGGGGAGATAGCAAATTGATCGTCGGGTGAGAGATCTGCATTATCTCTTCTGGCCGATGAGATCCGAATTCAAGGAGAATACGGAGAAGGGTTGGATAGATCGTTCGGATGGAATCCGACCACGAGTATTCCGGGACAGGAAACTCACTCGGGAACGGGCAGAAATCGCAGTGACACAACTATCTACCTATTAGATGAGACACGGGGTATCGGTGTCCCAAGATATGTAGAGTCCGAACGGATGAGATTTGCTAAGACATGGTGTTTGATGAGTATGTCTCTTTTTCCGTAATCGAAGATGAATAAATGAACATTGATATTTTCCATGAAAAACCAATGTTTTCCTTCCATCACAAATTGAGCTTTTCGGTCGAGGGGTTTCCACGAGCCCACTCGGACTCAAGATGGGTCGAATTTATACGTAAGTATGATGATTACATAATTCCCAGAGGTGCAGCGATAATCGTCAAGGATTCATTCAGTCGTCGGAGAAAAACTCCCAAGTCTGGAAATCCGATGCCATGGATGTTTTTTTGTCGTTCCCGACTCCAATTGCGATGACTCGATTCCTGAGCTCGATCCCAAGCTCAGACTCTACTAATGACTCGCGCCATTCGCAATCTCCGAGGGCAAAGAACCGAGCTGACCTTTCCGGATAAGAAGCTCGGAACATTCTAACATTGTTTCATCCATATTCCCACCGGCCGTCTCACCCACTCAGTGACTACGGCAGAAAGGTTATGGACAAACAGCCCCCCTGTCATCATCATGGGACCTCGGAGCGGAAACGCGGAGGAGCTCCAGCGGTTTTCGTCTTCGAGCAAGACGGTCAATGAAAGTTGAGATCGACGACATTCTAGACTGGGACGCGGAGGGCTGTGCGGTCGTGTCTCGGTCTATCTCATCACTTCACAAAGCTTTTGACGCAATTTCTTCGAACTCCCGAGGGAAACATCCCGTGTCGACACTGTCGCCGGCGAGAAAGAGCGTCAGCCTTTCATCAATTGTGCTGTCAACCAATTTAATAAGACGACGACTGCAACGGCGAGGATGGCGACGGCAGCCGAGATGTTGGAGGAAAACACAGCAATCTCAGAGTCCCATTAGGGAGTTGCGTGAAACTCCGACTTTAGCCCTCTGAACTGCCAGCCTCGAGACCGCTGTTGCTCCCAATCGTTCCCTCGAAACTTCGCTCTCGTTAGAAGGATCTGGTCGTTTCGGACATTTCCGTGGAGATTTCCTCGGCAATCGTGATGAGGGGTTCTATCAGATTTGAGATCGAAGAACCAATTAAAATCGTATACCCTCAGTGCGAGCGATGAAGAATTCTCCGCTCACGATTCGAGTTCGGGGTCGAGAACGTTCGAGAGCGAGTTCAGGGCGGTTGAGGGTAGCCGCTGCGCTCACATTCGACACCTCCGCGTGGCTATCCAGCCGATAGTGAGGTGGTCCGTCCGTGACCTTGAGACGACCCCTGTCAGAGCCCGAAATCTGATTGAAATCGTACGACGCGCGAATATATAAACAATGACTTCAATGTCCAGCTCTTTTCCTTCCATTTCTCTGAAGAGACGAACCAAATTGAAGGAAGGGCGAGTAAGCACACCTGAAGCGGGATTCAATCCCAAACCACGTCCACGGTTCGGCCCTCAGAGAGTCAGGAGCCGAGGACTCGATCGAGGAGACCAGGGCAGAACAAAAATCTTCGGATATTTTCCATCGGCGCGAGCTCTTCCAGTCTTCGGAGTAGCTTCGTGCCGGCTGCAGATCGGCCGACGAACTCTCGTAACCATCGGTAAGCTTTGTCCTCCTCCGTGCACAGGAACTAATTAGCAGGAAAGAACTGTGTCGCCGAACCAGGCTACATCTCCGCGCAACGCCGCGACTGCACCGACAAGACTCGTAAAGACAACCCCCCCCCTTCCCCCACCACGCAGATCTGAACTAGGTCGCAGACTCAGTCAGATCTTCTTACTTGCCATCGCTTTTCCGTTCCTTCACCGATACGATTCGATAAAGTCCCGGATTTTCGGAACTGACTCGGTGTTGGGCAGACGCGGATCCAGATCCAGGAGTCCTCACGCGAGGGGTGATCAACGTTTTCCGGGGAGCTTCACGACATCGGTCTGGAGCTTGTCAAGTTTTTCAGTTTGCTTCGGCATCGGCTTCAGAGGACGACGAGCTCTTTCCATTACGGTCGAAGGTGAGGAGAAAATACGTCGTGGAAGTTCAATCTCCAAGCTTCCCCCCTCCCGATACCACAGGGTCTCTGGGGGTATAATTGCTTCCAGAATGAATCCGAGATGAGGCGAGTCGGCGACAAGGAACGGGGCCGACAACTGTAATGCACCCGCATCAGCTGTTTCTTTGTCTATTCTTAGTCGAATCTCGCACACCCGTTAGGGTGAAGCTAGCGAAAACTCTTTACAAGATATCCCTTGTATTGTATGTTTGATGAATAGAGCCCGTGACTTCATGCAAAATGCATATAATGCATAAAAATGCATATTCTGGGCTTTTCCTCTTGAAGATGCATATTCTGCGCTTTGGGGCATAATTCTGCATATCCCATATTTTCCCCATCGATTCTCGCGGGTCTCGACGCTGAGAGCGACGTACAGCCATGGTCAACCGAGAATAGATGGGAACGGTGACGAATCGGATACATCTTCCCGGATTTCGACAAGTTGGTCTCCAACGGGAAGAAAATTTTCCTGAAGTCTGCCGATCGGGTGAGCACATTCCGCGAGATCGCACCCGGAGTGCCGCTGCCACCCCAGCCAGTTCTGACAAGATGGGGTACCTGGTTGAACGCAGCCGTCTATTACGCCGACCACTTCCATTCATTTTCGAAGGTTTTGTAAGCTCTGGACGTCAAAGACGCTGCGAGCATCGGAGCGGCTGCTCAATTGGTGAGGAAGTCCTCTGTAGGGAATTATCGCTCTTATAAAAGCAAACTCCGGAGAGCTCCCGCATGCCATCGAGAAAGTCGAACCGAAGGGACTGTCTTTGGTAGGAAGCGTGGGTATCTTCGAGGCACTTGTTAAAGATCTCAAGAAAACACCCGGTGATGTTGGGGATTTGGTCCCTAGGAAATGCGATGCGGTTTTGATTCGTAATGGCGGCTTCAAAATTCTCAAGGATGTCTCGGACATACTTCAGGGGGGCAGCTCCACGGATAGTCTCATTGGTCGCGACCCCTCGGAGATAGCCTGCTTCAAGTACGCACCGATCACGTCGGTGGATGTTGAAAGGAGCTCCTCTAGTTTGAAGCAACTTCTCAGCGCCCGTCGTCAGAGTTTTACGTTTTAAAATTTGAAGATGCATCTCATTGTCTACTGTAACCCGTAACCTAAATTTTGCCTGTATTAAGCAGGATTGAGTCAATTCCAGAAAGTATCATAAAACCTGAACGAAGCTCCTATTTTTTTGTGCATATTTCTCTTTTTCAATGCATATATCGGCCCTTTTTCAGGGCATACTTGCATGCATATTTCCGGTTTTTATAGTGCATGAACTCACGGGCTCTATTGATGAAGGATCGCCATGACTGATGTTGTTGTGGTTGCGATTGTCGCTGTCACTGTCCTTGC